GATCCGATCCACTCTATTTCGGATTTTCGGATTTCAAATTTCGGATTTTCGGATTGGATACGGATTGTGTTTTATGAAATTTCGGATTTTCGGATTGGATTCGGATTGGTATGATTTTAATCCGATCCGATCCGATATCCGAAATTATATGTACCTATATAAATACACACTAAAATTTTAGGGTTATGCTTATTCATTTTTCACACACCCCCTCACTCACTTAGATTTTTCCGCCTCTCTTGCACCTCTCTTCTCTTCAGTGAAGACTAAAAGAGTCTCAATGACTCAAACTTCCGATTTTACTTTGATTTTATGTCTCTTTCTTCCACCTCTCTTCTCTTCTCTTCTGTCTTTTATGTCTATTTCATGTTCTATTCTTCAACTTTTGATTTTATTTTGATTTTTTTGTTTGTTTTGGTAGATGGAAGATGAGATAGAGACACCGAATGAACTTTAAATTGTTGAAAAATTTTGTGACAATCCGATCTGACAATCCGAAAAATTATCCGATCTAAAGTTTAAAATCCGATCCAATCCAATGTTAATTCGGATCGGATTCGGATTGCCCTTTTCAGAATCCGAAATCCGAAATCCGAATCCGAAATAGGCTAAATCCGATCCAATCCGATCCGTGCACAGCCCTACTTGCGGTTGCAGTTCGATCGAACTCAGTAGCTTTAGTTTAAATTTTATGTTTATTTTAAAAATTAGTTAAAAATACATAAATTATTAATTTATAACTCAATAACTTAAAATGATTAGAATTCCGAACTTATGCTCCGATGCCTAACTCCGCCTCTAGATGAAATAGTAGAATGCCAGTTAATTGATTTTCTGTTTTACAAATTGTTAATCCCCAACTCGCTTCAGACAACATTGTTAAGGGGAAAAAAGAGAGAGGAAAAACAAATCAAATCCAAAAACGTGACATGTAATGCGCAAAAGGAGTAATTTCCTGTTTACAAGATTTTCTTTAAGCTCTAACAATTTGAATCCCATTAATTGATTCTTAAATATGATAATAAATATGTATTATCTATCTATATTTATATTTATATTTATATCTATATCTATATCTATATTATTATAAAAGCACCAATGTTTCATCCTAAATATTGAACGACGAAAATATCCTCCAAATATATCGACTTTTATACCCTTTATTAATTAGATATCTCCATAATATTAATGTACAAAAACGTAAAAGTGTTCCATTAATTGTTGAATCCAAGTCAAAATCTCTTATATGATAACTAAACCTTTATAAATACGTCCTTTATTTTAGTTTACCACTTTAAACAGATTTATGTTAGAAGTCAAGTACATTTAGGAGTCTTTTATGTTAAAAAGACGTAAGTGATTTGGAATATTGATTTGAAAATCAAAAATAAATCATATTATCTACAAACACCCATTCTTCGCAAGAATTTATGCTCAAAATTCATATCTACAGAATATATCAATTTTATTATAAATTGTTTTTTTTTTCAACCTACGGATGGATCTACATCCTGAAAACTTATTGAGTTAAAAACATTTAAATAAAAAATAAAGAAAATTAATGACCTTCAGTATTTCACTTGGCCATCTCTAATTTTCACCATCTTTGATTTTCTCTTTCTTACATTTTCTTCTTTGAACAGTATTTGATTTAGATAACTCGCCGATAATGATTATCTATTGAAGCAATGATAAAAATATTCTCCAGCATAAGGGAATTTTAAACGTTGACAGTAAATGATAATATTTTTTTTAACTCCTGTAGTATCATTTTTTTTAAACTCCTTTAGTATCATTTTTTTTAAATGGGACATAACTTCTTAGCATGACCGTGTTATTAAGAAGTAAGGCCCTAGAAAGCTGGTTTATTGAAGGTAATTAAGTAGCAATCTGAAGTGCAATTTATTGGGATGAAAAAAATCTTTGTTTTGGAAAAAAACATATTAGAAACTAGAATAACGTAAAATCATGTTCACTCAAAAGTACCTAAGATCATACAAGGTTCTTCATTTTAATTTTTTTTACCATATATTAATTTAACTTTTTGTTTATTCGAATAAAATAATGGACCTAAAATCTACGTGCAAAGCACGTATATAAACACTAGTTATATTAAAAACACGAAGATCCTTAGCAAAATATCGTTCGCTTTTTTTATCCTTTAAAATTAGATTTATATTGGATAAAATTGTAATTTAATAAAACTCCTATCTTCTTCTTCAAAATATTCTCGGCGCATGTTAATTAAACGTACGCCAAACTTGTAGACATGGCGAACGGAAGAGGCAGGGGAAGGGGACGACCTCGTACGTATCCATTAACAACATTAGAGAATCTATTGACGACAGTTAATCAACCATTAATAGAGAAGGTAGCTCCATTAACCACTCCTCCAGCTTCAGTTTAGAGTATAAATCCAGCTACTGGAGGTACTGCATGTACAATTGGCTCAACTTCGAACCAGTCTAACGTCTCTAAGAAGCTGGATCTAGCATCTCCAGCATCAATTGGGGCAATACCAGCTACGATGAAATTTCCAACCAATAGAGCAGTGACCATGCAAAATCCAGCTCATAATCAAGTTAACTCAGCAAATAAACTTGTTGAACCAGTGGTGATAAGCAAAAAAGTAGAAGAAGCTAAACATTCATGGGCAACACTTTTTCAGAAGAACAAATTTGCTACAAATGATATGTCACTATCTTATACTCCACCGTTAGTTGTAGATGGGCAACCTATGGTTCAATTAGACAAATTAGAGGTGGAGGAGGATGAAAGCAAGTGGAAATGTGCTTTGATTTCTTACATTTTAGGAGATGGCCCAGGATATAATGCGATGAAGAGATACATCAACTTACATTGGTCACATGTTCCAGAACCAGATCTATTCTATCATGATGAAGGCTACTACATAATCAGATTCAAAACTATGGAAGATGCTCATGAAATTCTGTGTGATGGACCTTATTCAATAGATAATAAACCTATAATTCTAAAGTCATGGACTCCTGATTTTGATTTCACTGAGGAATTCCCTACTGTTATTCCACTATGGGTTAAATTTCCTAAGCTACCTATGTCTTGTTGGGGAGTGGGATCATTAAACAGGATAGCCAGTATGATTGGGAGACCTATTTTTGCTGATGAGTGCACAACTACGCACACTAGAGTTTCTTATGTTCGGATGTTTTTTAGACTAATGTTACCAAAGAGTTGCCAAGTGAAGTTTGGGTGATGGATCTAACTGGGAAGAAGTTTTTGCGAAATGTTATTTATGATTGGAAGCCTGCTTATTGTGAGAGTGTCTAGTAGTGGGACACAGATGCTCAAACCAAGTGAGACCTGTTACACAACAACCTAATCAAGCTAAGAAACCCAAAATTACATAGATATGGAGAACCAAGGCCCCAATACCTACAGCACATGTGCAAAGTGAAATAGCCTCAGCTGAGCTGCTACAACAAGCTACTATTAATATGGTAACTGATGTCCAGAAATCTAAGGAAAGGAGTGTCCATCCATTTGTGGCTCCAAGTGATAAAAGGCAAGAAGATAAAGGAAAAGCAGTCCAAAGCCCAGAATTGAACCTCATCAATTTTCCTCCCCTTTACCCTATTCCTGTGAGGAACAGATTTGAAGCAGTGTCCAATAGCAAATATGAAGTACCACCTGGGGATAGAGGTGGAACCAGCAATCAGTCATGAAGTGGTTATTCTGGAATATTCTAGGTGTAAATAAAAGGTACAAACAGAAGGAAGTTAGGGAATATATTAGATGCAATAAAATAAAGTTAGTAGGATTAGTAGAAACTAAGGTGAAAGAAGGTAATGCTCAATGAATTTCAAAGTATCTTGTTCCTGGATGGGGTATGCTAGCTAATTATAATGAAGCTAGGAATGGTAGGATATGGTTATTATGGGATACTAATAATCTCATTATTACTGGACTTAATGATGATCCTCAAATGATTCATTGTCTAGTAAGAAGTACAAGGGGGGTATAGATTGCTATCTTACTGTTGTTTATGATTTTAATGAGATAGAGTAAAGAAGATCTTTATGGGAGATTTGCAACAGCTTTTAACAAGTATCACAAGTCCATGGTTAGTTACAGGGGATTTTAATGCAGTTTTATACCCTAATGATAGACTATCTTGTAATCCTGTTAGCTATTCAAAGGTTCAAGAGTTTGGCTACTGTCTTCAGCAAGCAGGACTAACAGAATTTCCTTGAAAAGGAGAGTATTATACCTGGACAAATAAATAAACTGGAGCTGATAGGGTGAGTAGCAGATTAGACGGAGTTTTTGGTAACTATGAGTGAATGATGACTTGGAGCCATGTGGAGACAATATATGATCCACCTCAAATTTTTTATCATGCTCCTATGGTATTAACATCAGCAGCTTCTTCTTGGACTGGAAGGGTTCCATTTAGGTTCTTCAATGTATGGTCTACTCATGTAGATTTCCCTCAGATTGTGGCATCTATCTGGAACTCTTTAAATACTCTTGGTTCTCTGAAAATAGTATATATTAAATTAAAAACATTGAAAGCTCCTCTAAAGGCTTTGAATGCTAAGGATTTCAAGGGCATTACTCAGAGAATTAAAAGGGCCAGATTGGAATTGAAAGATATACAAGATCAGCTTACAAGTACCTAATTTGATGGTTTACTACATAAGGAGAAAGAGATACTACTCAACCTTGAGAAGTGGTCTTTAATTGAAGAGAGTGTGTTGCAGCAGAAGGCAAGGGAAAAATGGATTCAACTAGGTGATTCCAACACTAAGTACTTCACTGCAGTTATGAAAGAAAGGTCACAAAGAAAACAGATTACAAAAATTATAGTTGGTTTAGGGGATAAGGTGACTGATCCTGCAGCTATTAAGAGGGAGATTCTGGGGTTCTACAAGGCACTCATGAGCTCAGCAACTAAGTCACTTCCTGCCACAAATAGACTGTACATGGCTAATGGTCATATTCTATCTTAGCAGCAAAAAATGGAATTATGTGCAGAAGTAACTGATCAAGAAATTCTGGAGAGTCTTAAAGCCATTGGAGATGATAAAGCACCAGGGATTGATGGTTATAATGCTGGGTTTTTTTTTCAAGAAGGCCTGGAACATCATCAACAACCAAGTCAAAGACGTTATTAAAGAGTTCTTTTTAACTTCCAAGATGTATAAACCAGTGAATTGTTCCACCATTACTCTAGTACCTAAAGTTCTTAAGCCTACCACAGTCAAGGAATACAAACCAATTTCCTGTTGTACAGTTCTGTATAAAATGATATCCAAAATACTAGCTACTAGACTTCAAAAGATCATGCCAAGTATAATATGTGAAGCCCAAGCTGGTTTTGTTCCTGGCAGAAAGATAGCTGATAATGTAATCCTGGCTCATGAGTTAGTCAAGTCCTATACTAGAGCTCAAATATCGCCTAGGTGCATGGTTAAAATTGATCTTCAGAAAGCATATGACTCAGTGGAGTGGATTTTTCTACAACAGGTGATGGAGGAGATTGGCTTTCCTGACAGATTCATCAAATGGATCATGGAGTGTATTAAAACAATTAGCAATACTGTTCTTATAAATGGAGAATCTACTGAACCTTTTGAGGCTGCTAAGGGACTCAGACAAGGAGATCATATTTCTCCTTTCTTATTTGATATTGTAATGGAATATTTGAATAGATCACTTACTGAGCTGGAAAAAAAGAACAAATTCCAATACCATCCCAGATACAAAAAACTTGGCATAACTCATATGAGTTTTGCTTATGACCTCCTTTTATTTTCAAGAGGTGATCTGCCTTCCATAGTTACTATGTATCAGTATTTCTCTCAATTCTCTGAGACCTGAGGATTACAAGCTAACTTAGGTAAAAGGAGAACTACCATTCAAATATTTAGGCATTTCTTTGTCTAAGAAAATTGCATTGATCCAATGGCAACCTTTAATTGATAAAATCACAGCCAAGATCTCCTCATGGACTGCTAGGATGCTATCCTATACTGGTCGAGTGCAACTAGTTCAATCTGTTATTTTTGGCATCCAAGCCTACTGAGCTCAGTTGTTTATTCTACCAGTCAAAGTGCTAAAGATAATTGAGGCTATATGCAGAAGCTATATATGGTCTAGCAGTAACACTATCACTAAGAAGGCATATGTGTCTTGGGAGAGAATGTGCACTCCTAAATCTGTTGGTGACTTAAATCTCATCAACCTACTTCTGTGGAACAAGGCAGCAATTGCTAAAGTATGTTGGGATTCAGCTCATAAAGAAGACAAACTGTGGATTAGATGGATTAATACTTACAATGTTAAACATAAACAATTGCATGACATGCCAATTCCAAAGCAGGTTAGTTGGATGGTGAGAAGGATAATTGCTTCAAGAGTTATTTTAACAAGCTCAAAGTTCAAATGATCACATTGGCACCATCAGACAGCTATACTTACAACTATTAGGAGACTTACCACGAGTGAGTTGAAGGAGTCTGCTATAATAGAACTCTGCTCGACCAAAGGCTATCTTCAACTTATGGTTATTGTTTCAGGGAAGATTACCTACCAAGGACAGGTTAGCTAGCTGGGGATTGAACATTAATCAGCAATGTGTTCTATGCCAAGGACATATGGAAACAAGAGACCACTTGTTTTTGTTATACTCATATGCAACAGTGTTGTGGAAGAAAGTAATGAGGTGGATTCAAGAAGATCAATTGAGCAATCACAACTGGGATCAACATTTTCAATGGATCATCAAAAAAGCCAAAGGGAAGTCAAGCAGGGCCAGCATTTTCAGAATGGTGTTTACTGAAACTTCGTATGCATTATGGATGGAAAGGAATATACGTATTTTTGAACAAAGATATCGTAGCAGTGAAGTATTAGCAAGAGAAATGGCTTATATATATAATGTTAGAGTAGTTCCTAGAGCTAGAAACAAATGCAACAGTTTTTGTTAGTGGAGTAACTTAGTTTAGCTATTTCTATAATTCAGTAGAGTAGTTGATGTTAAGATAGTCACCAGAGTATTATGCTGGACTATGATTTTGTAAAGATTGATCTTTTGTGATTAATACAAAAGAAGTTAATTACCAAAAAAAATTATAATTTAATGATTCTCCTAGTATTTAGTACTTAGAAATCAACTAAAATTATGATTATTAAGTCTTTCCTTATTTAAAATATGTAAAATATTCTAACATTTAAGACTCTAAAATCAAATTAAAGTTTAACTCTTATAAACAACTCCTTATTTAAACTAAGTTTGTTATTTTTGTCCTTTACCGTAGGATTTTTCTACCCCCTCCCCCCACGAAAGTCCTAGCTAATTTATGTTTTTCGATGGATTCTTGATCAAGAGCATCTCCAAAGGAAGCAAAATATTACATGATTCTTCTAGGTGTTGATGAGTTAGGAAAATAATGTTATTGCAAGTATATTGCTAAAGCCCTTAATTTGCTCATGCGAGATATATCATAAGAGTGATAATAGGATTGATTTAAAATTAAAGTCTTTATAAAGATTTAAAGGTACATCCAACTAATTTTATTCCAAAATTAAATTCTTTTATTTTCTATAATCTTGCATATTATGAAAATACAAGATTTTGTTTTGGTGGGTGAAGTATTTATAGTTTGTAGCGTGTTTTTTTTTTAGTGCAGTTTGTTATTCAATTTAGCCGATTTATTTCAAAATTTGAGATTAGGTTATTTGATATATTTATTCGGAATGGATTGTATCTTTGTAAAATTTAGTGTAACATGTACTAAATTAGTAGATTCGTCTAATGAGTGAAGATATTACTACTAAATTTAGTTTGACTGCAGCTAATCATATTATAATTGAATTGAATTTTGTAGGACCAAAAGCGCCTTGCACAGAGCATATTGTTAAGGAGATCTTTGGCAAGTTAAAGATAAAGTCCAGAACAACAATATGAATTGATGTATGTAGTTTCACTATTCTTTTATGTATTAAGTTGTTTATAATTAAGTATCTCCTCTTCTTCTCACACTACATCTTGTATTTATTTTTTAAGCATATAATTATTTTGACTCTGTTGCCTGTGGGGATATATAACTACGAAGGATTGAAATTAGAAAAGTAGTCTTTTTAAATTAAAAGTTTAATATTATTCAAGAGCGTTTCTGTGGTTAAGCTTGAAAGAAGTTATCACTTTGAGTACAAAGAAATTGAGACTTAAATTTCGGAACACGATTGAGATTTTATGAGTGAAGAGCTTAGTAGATTATCTTCTTTTTAGCTATAAAATGATGCTTTGTGTTAGTTTCGAGTTCATTTCAATGTTTAATCTTGCTCGAAAAAGTCTAAGTGTTTTCCATTTTACCAACATAGAATTATCTCTTGAAATTTGTTTAGAGCTCTATATTGAAATTCTGATTGAATATTGTCACTATTATTCCTAACTATAAAGAGAATAAGACACTAATTTCATTAAACATCAATTCGTTCAAAAATAATTTCGAATAAGTTTGTGATTTGCAATTACGTAAATCACAATGTTCAATCTCAGAGTTGAATAATATTTGTTGCAACATGATTTCTGATCACATGAATAATTATATATTGCATTTTTAAGAAGAATATTAATGTCGACAATAAAATATTTAATCATGACAAAGCGATTAAAGCGATAGAAGGAAACATACACTAAAATATTATTTATAAAGAGGTGTTAAGTGAGATACAATACAATATACTTGTCTCTCATATAATAAAATATTTATATTTATAATACTATATTAACTAACATATTTGACGTGATACACACGTGCAACGCATGTACACTAAAGCTAGTTACCCATAAATATGAAAGAGCATGAACCTTCACATCCGAAGACTCAATCATTCTGTTATGATTTCTTTGCATTGTCTTTCGGTCAAAACCCCGTTTATCTTCGGCACAAGGGCACTTGATAAGTGAGCTACTCTTTCGAGGATGGTTGCTTCTAGCCAAACCTCTTGATCGTCTCTGCTCCCCTACCTCTTTTATTATTGAGCGACCATTTAGGAGTCTTAGCTGGTGATCCGAGTTGTTTTCTGACATTGAAGCTTATCTCCCTAGCATCTCACTAGTCGACCTTGACCCGATTATTTTAAGGTCATATATATTATTCAGAGTTTACTACCAAGTACCAGCAACTTCCAGTGAATGCACCTGCTTTTAATTTTCTTGTTATTTTAGAAAAAGAAGATAATCTCTCTATAACTGAACGAGCTTTAGAGCCTTTTATGGTTCTCCTGCTTCTTTTTGTGTTACACTTTTCATTTGCCTTAAAAAGATTCCACAAATGACCATCAATTGGTGTAGTATTGATAGATATATTTCTTCCGAAGACTTAAGAAACTCTAGATACTGGAAACTATAAGCAAAACAAAAATGACAACCACGACCTAGTATCGCAATTTTATTATTTTTCATCGTTTAACAATAGATCGTCAAGTAGAAAAGGGAAAAATTAATCATAGTGGCATTTTCTCAATACGCCACTTAACTTAACCTCATGTTTCACTACCTCCTTTTAATATAATATAATTAATATAGAAATACATATTTTATATATATTTGGCTAGCGAATATTATTATTTTTGGTCTAACTGGCCAAATATGTAACTTGCCCGTATCTTTCTAGGGGTATGGCCTAAATTGTTTGTCCGTGAAAATCTTTTCTAAAATGATATTAAATGCATTTCAACTATCACTCGTGATTCTAAGAATGAGCACTATTAAAGGAATTTATTTTGGAAATTATGTGAATAGCACTAATGAAATCTGCGTGTTATCCATGTTAACCAACAACTTTTATGAGCTACAAATTAAGAAAACAAAACTACTAACTCTGAGTAATGCCAAACTCCATATTAACATTTCGTAGTGATTTCAACACCCGTTAAATTTAGTATTCGAGTGTCGCCATATTCAAATGATATATAATGGGAAGGCATAATAAACCAAGTTTTGACATTTGACACTGCTTCATCATAGAGGTGGATCCAGGATTTCATGGCTGCGGGTGTCGCTCAATTTAAATTTTAATGCCAAGCACCAGTCAAGGATATTGAAAAAGAGTGATGTTTGGTCGATTCACTATATTTGAATATCTTGGTTCGGTTTGATCTATCTAGAATTAATACAATATGGCTAATAAAATTTTGGCACATAAATAAATACGCAATCACCAAATAAAAATATTTGGTCCAATTTGATATCAAGAAAAAAATAACACTAGATGAATAACAAAGGAAAGTAATTAAAGTTATATTCAAACAAAACTTTGGAGATCTAGAAAATGAAAAAGGAAGCAAATACATAATCAAAATAAATAATAAACTGGTGTAGTAACAAAGAGTGAAAATACAACGATGAAGAAAATAAAAACTAAGAAAAGAAGAAATAACAGAAAAGGACAAAAAGAACAAAAAGAACAAAAAAAAAAAAAGACAACTACGTACATAAGAAGTTTCGATCCTGGGTTAAAGGCCTGAAAAACTACAGCTTTGACCATTGGCACCTACCATCACTTTACTTCTATGGGTGGCACCCTTTACTAATATCCATTTTATTGTAAGAAATATCAGTTTTTACCCGAGCATCCGGGTGGCGTGGCACCCCTCTACACTACATAAATCCGCCCCTGCTTCATCAAAAGAAAATTAATTGTATATGTAATACATATTTTAAGAAAATAATATGTAATATATACAATATGTCAATATCGCTAATATAAAGAAAACATCAAGAGTTTATTTGGAAAGGCACTCGGTATTGAAATTGGTATAATTACTAGAGTAGTAATTACACAACCTAGTACGTAATTATGACGACCTATTTGTTTGTCATAACGTAATTACAGAGTAATTACAAGCGTACTGTTTGGTTGCACAAGTGTAATTACACAATTAGATTAAATTTTAAAGGAAGTAATTACGAAACTCAAAAGTTAATATAAAAAATATATGCCTATAAATGATTTTTATGAGTATAAATAATATTAGAATTGGTATTTAAGATGCATATGTTTTCTTGAATATACACTAATTAGTAATCATATATTTATAACTAATATTAAAAATAATTGATATATATTTTTTCAAATTAATAATATTTAGTTTAAATAATTATAAAAACTAAAAATAAACATTTTGTAAGAACATCATGAAATGCATGTTTGATAAAATAAATTAATATTTACAAATATAATGTCAAATCATTATGCAAATATTTGACAAAACTAATCTATCAATTCTAACTAAAAAATTGAATAGCATAGCAATGTGAAATAACAAGTCAATACTACTTAAACAAGTAAATTGGTACCATAAATATAATATAATTTCAAAATCCCAAAAAAAAACTTTAATATATGACAAATTCTAACATAATAAAAATAAGTTCCAATATAACTTAAAATTAGTAAGCTTATAACCTCATTCAACAACAAAATTCTACTTTAGTGACATCATTTATTATATATCAAGTTTGTTAATGACTCGTTATTTCTAATATTATGAGGTGTAGTTTGAAAAAATAGAATTAACTAAATGAAGAAAATAAAACAAATAAGAAATAAAATATACGAGCAATTAGTTGGAATCACAAGAAGTAAAGATAGAGAAATAAAAAATAAATAATGTACAGAGAAAATACGAGTATATTTTACAATTAAAAAGTAAAACTAAAATAAAATAAAAAATTAAAATAATGGAAATAAAAACTTATAAAGAAAATAAATTAAAATAAAAACAAAAAGCAAAGAAATTAAAAAGTAGCATTGTAATTATACAGTGTAA